GCCCCTTTCAGAAAGAGCAGAAAAATACTTGGACAATGAGTAGAAGGGAGGAGGAAGAGAGAGAAGATGGGACAGCTGTTTGGAGAGGCTGGTCTTTCCTGCTTCTCATCATTAAGTAGCCTCTGGGCCAGAATGTTATGTAATCAGGACACAATACAGGAGGGCTAGGGACACCAAGGACCATGCCACTGCCTGGAGAACTCAGAAAGGGAGTACTTCCTGACTATGCTGGGGGCCTGAGGCAGGCTGGGTCTCAGTTTCTCTACTGGCAAGGCAGGTGACACTGATCTTGACCTTAGAGCACTTAGGAGAAGAGCCTTAATATGAAGCCCTCCTTATTGTGTTCCAGTTGCTGAGCTGGGAAGGTGGGAGCAATGAAGTGATGCATTGTTATTACCACTGGGGAAGGTGTGTGAACTTGCCTGCCTGCCTACTTTGGAGGCTGGTGGGGGGGGTCAAAGAACCTTCTATTGAATTTCAGAGTTGTTTGTTTCTGTCCCCCTCATTCCCCAAATCCTGGGGTAACTGGTCAACCTCTCTTCAAACTTCTTCCTAAATAGTGGATTGTAAATTTTTTTTGGGGGGGTGGGTGGGAGGGAGAGGTAATGGATTTCCCCGACCTTCTGATTTATGTTATGGACACTTTTCTTAGAAAAATGCATATATTCATACAGACATAACATTTTGCTAAAGAATTTTGGGCTTTGTAGAGGGCCAAGTTAAGAACTGTAGCTCTGGGGACCAGCAGGCCGCATGATGGTTAAGGATGCTGGATTCCCATGTGGTTGACTGTGGTTCGAGTCCTGGACCTAGTGGCTTTCTTTTTAACTTTTCCTCTCTCTCACACACTCTGTCCCTCTGGTAAAATTAAAATAAATAAGTAAATGAAATAAAGTTCAATAAAATAATTTAGAAAAGGAAATTTGAGTTTATTTTAAGAAAAAGAAAAGAACTGTAGCTCTAAGGGTGATCTGTGGACTTTACTGAAGCTCATCCAGGTAAAGGAATCATCTCTACCTCAGTGTAGAAGGATGTGAGGAATGTCTGTGGCTTTTACTTTTGTATTATCTGGGCAGGAAAAATATCCCGTCCTCATTCTATAGGAACTTCTCTTAGCAGCAAGAATCTTTCCAAGTACAAAACAAGCAGCTGAACTGGCAGGCAGTGGGCAGGAAGTCTGGCCTCTAGCCTAATCTTTGGCCACACATCCTGACCTGCTGGCCTAGACATTGAGTAAGTCATAATAGGACTCTCAAGGTTAACTGTCATACCACAGAGTCAGAGTGCTGGGTCCTGAAGTCCATGTCACAGTGGTAGCAGGAGATACTGTGACTTCAGATCCAAGAGCTGCACACATTGCTAATCCTGTATAGCTGCCAGTTGCCTTCCATTGCTGTGACTGGTAATTTGGGTACACTTTTGTTCGTAAACAAATCCACAGTCATTGTTTTGTGTCGCCCATCTAAAGGGCTGGTGGGAGGCGGTACGGTAGAGCTATGTACACAGGTGCCCAGCAAGTTCCTTTGAGTTATAATGGTGAGGACATTCTGGGGCAGAGGTTTCCAGTGCAGAGCAGATTGTAGCCCAGACACAGTATGCCATCTTTGGCAGAAGGGTCTACCCTGGTGACAGGTACCACAAAATCTGCTTGAGTGTCTAAGGCCCTCTAGGTGGTAAAGGTCAATCACCAATCAGTATCATTTTTCTTTCAGGTCTCCTAACCTTCATTAACTGTGCCTATGTCAAATGGGGAACCTTGGTACAAGATATTTTCACCTACGCTAAAGTATTGGCGCTGATTGCAGTCATCATTGCAGGCATTGTTCGACTTGGCCAGGGTAAGAGATAATATTAACAGCAACTAACATTCATAAAGCATTTCCTTTAGCTACATTCCTCTAATTGCTTTTGTGTATTATCTCATTTAATTCTCTCAAGTCCCTTATCTGGGTAGGCAGCATTATTATTCCCACTTTATAGAAACTGAACAAAAAATTCAGTATTTCTTTCCTAAGTCCCTAGCAAAAAGTAGTAGAATAGAATTTGTACCCAGGCAGATTGGCCTTAAACCTATCCTTTAAGCTTGGCACATGTTGCTTCCCTGAGATGGCTGATCTTGGCAAAAGGGCTGATGATAGCCTTGCCCTGGAATTGGCTTTTGCAGACTGTCCAGCCTAATGCAATGTCTATGAGTGTTTTTCCTGTAAGAGTGGACATGGTCAGAAATGAACTGCTAGTACCCATCAGTATAAACGCCTACCCTACAACTGCTGTTGACCTGTGTATACTGAGCCCTGCCCTTTGTCTACTCTGTATTGTTCCTGTCTGGTGTTAGAAAGGGAGCAAAGTAGAAAAGGGCTGCATCATTCCTGTTCTCCAGCTCTCTGCTCCACAGTAGTTTATCACAGAAAGTCACCACAGGTCCTTCCTATAAAGGTCTCCATCCATGCCATTCCCTACATTCTGGCCATCTCTGTAGGTGTCTCTCTTCTGTTTCCCATTCCTTCACTGGTACCCTTGCTGCCAAAGGTGTTCCAAGTCACTTAACTGCTGTTATCGGATATCCTGCCATTCTTTTACTGTGTTCCCCTGAAGTTGGGAAAATGGGCCACTAATCCTCTGTCTTCTAAATGTTCTCTGGTTCCAGGAGCCTCGACTCACTTTGAGAATTCATTTGAAGGTTCATCATTTGCAATGGGTGACATTGCCCTGGCACTGTACTCGGCTCTGTTCTCCTACTCAGGCTGGGACACCCTCAACTATGTCACTGAAGAAATAAAGAATCCTGAGAGGTAGGTACCTTACTACCAATGCTGTGGCAGTGATAGCCATCTTTTATTTATTTATTTAAAATAATTATTTATTTTTTTATGATTATTTTAAAATTAGCTATACGGCATGTGTGCTCACCAGAGACAGACAGAGAGTGGGAAAGTAAGAAAGCAAGAAACCAAGCTGCTAGGTCCAGGACCTGAACCACAGTTGGCCATGTGGGAGTTCAGCATCTTAACCATCATGCCACCTGCTGGCCTCTAGCCATCATTTATTGAGCTTCTGCCATGTGCCAGATAATATACCAAAACCACTTATGAGGCTGATTTTATTAGCTCCATTTTAGCACATGGGAGGCCTGAGGCACAGAGAAGTAACTTGCCCATGATCATAGTAACGTGAACTTTCTTGTTAATGCTTGGTAACATTTAAAAAAATATTCATTAGTTTGTTGTAGGGTGCATGCACTTGCCAGAGAAAGAAAAAACCCTCCCGGTGGAATGTCACAATCCCTTCTCCTCCATTGTCCCCTTAGGATTCTGGGCATTATGCACATGTGCCTGGAGTGATTTTTCAAGCCACAGGTCTGAGACGCAGACCAGTGGGATTTGCCATGTGGGATCCAGCTGCCTTAAACTCCACACCACCAGTTGGCTTTGCTTTGTAAATTTTTTTTCATTGCCACAGGGTATACACATGTGCTCCCCAGAGAGACAGAGAAAGTACCCTCCCCTACAATGAGTATGGTCATGCTGCAATCCTTTTTCTTCCATTTCTTTATCCTGTCAGGATTTGGGGCATGCATGTATACACACATGCCCAGTGTTTTCGAGTTGCTGGGCTGGGATTTGAACTGTGGTCAGCCATGTGGGATCTGATTCCCTTAATCAATGTACTATATGGCTGGTCCTGTAACATTCTTTAAACTGATTTTTTTACTGTTGCTTATTCATTCCTATACTAAACCAGGTTATACTATGTGCTGGTGTATGTTTCTTAATAGATCTTTCACCTACTCTTTTTTTTTGCGAGGTTTTTTGCTATAGGGCGTGTGCACTTGCCAGCCAGACAGAGAGAGACAGAGAGACAGAAAGTGAGATATCACCCCCCCAGGGGGGATGGCCACGCCGCAGTCCCTTCTCCTCCATTCTCCTCTCGGGATCTTGGGCACGCACGCACATGTGCCCGGTGTGAGTTTAAGCCACCGGGTCCGGGACGCAAACCGTGGTCGACTACGTGGGAGTCCAGCGACATAGCCATTACGCTAACTGCTGGTCCCTCCACACAGATAATTGTAGGTCATAGCCTTCCAGAAACCTTGTTTCCCTTCAGATCTCTTCCTTATTTCCTAAAATCCTTACAGACATTGTAATATTGTTTCAGTCATTTGACTATATTACGCCACCACTGTTACTCTAAATTACTCTGTAGTCATGCAGAGTGAAAAAAGTACTAGACAGGAAATCAAAAGCCCTGTGGTTTGTCTTTCCACTAGTTCACTGGGTGACGTTGAAGGAGTCACCCTGCCATGCCTTTATGTGCTTCCTTATCTGTAATTGAGGGAGTTGAGTTGTATTTCTTGGGGGTTTTTCCTGGCTCTAAAATTCTGCTTCTGGGAACTAAGATTTGCCAGGCAATGGAGATTCTGTAAATTTCCAAGTCAAAAGAATAACAATTCTTATACCAATAAACTACTTTTGGCTTTGAGAAACAAAGGCACTCTGGGTACACATCTAGTGCTGCAATCCTAGGAGCAGTGACAGTAGCAGTATCCAGGCATGGTAGTGCTTCCACCTACCGGACAAAAGCTGAATGACTCAAGAGTATTTGCTCTTCTTGGCAGTCTTAACTGTCGAGGATGTTTATAAAGATCATGGCTTTATTGGACTAGAGTGACCTCGAGAGGTCTTTGTGTGTCTCTTAGCACTAGTTCCAATGGCACCCAAGGGTCTCAAACTGAGGGAGGGACAAATGTACATATCGCTCAGGTTGCGTATTTACATACACTGCTCTTCCTACTGAAGGCCTATTTTATATTCTGAGATGTTAGAATTCACGGTTTACCTCCATAATTCTTCTTACATATCTTAACCTTAAGACAAAATTTCTGGTATCGACAATCTTAGAGAAGGAATGCTGATACCAAAAGACCTTTAGATGTGAAAAACAATTTCCCATCTCATGCTGTTATTATGCTGTGACATATTGCGTTGTTGGAAAAGTCAAGATGAATTTTCTGTTTTTCTATGCAAAAATGCATCATGCCTTTTTTGACACTCCAATAGTTATTTTATTATTATTTTTGCATAGTTTTTTTTTTTTTTTTTTTTGCTATGGAGTGCCTGTGCTTGCCAGAAAGAGAGAGACAGAGAGATAGAAAGCGAGAAATCACCCCTGAGGGGAGATGGCCACGCCACAATCCCTTCTCCATTCTCCTCTTGGGATCTTGGGCATGCACGCACACGCGCCCGGCGTGAGTTTAAGCCACTGGGTCTGGGACTCGAACCATGGTCGGCTACATGGGAGTTCAGTGACATAGCCATTACACTAACTTCTGGTCCCAGTTCTTTCTTTCAATGTAACAATTCTTTCCCCTAATGTTCTATAGTTCTTTAAGAGTTCAGAGCCTCAGCTCACATCCCAGGGGGGAACCTAATAAGCAGAGGCATCGGAGAAATTCAACAGGAGTCGCTATCCTAGATTAGTGTGGCAGGGAATCCAAGGATTAAAGGAGAGACAGGGATGCAACTGTGGGACTAAAATATCCTCTAGGGGCCTGCAGATGGTGTGGTGGCTAAAGGCATTAAATTCCCACATAGCTGACTGTGGTTCAAGTCCCAGACCTGGCAGCTTGGTTTTTCTTTCTCTGTCTTTCTTTGGTCAAATTAACAACAAATGGAATTAAATAAATAAATCTTTAAAAAAAAAATACATCCTTTATTCTGTTTGTAGGAACCTGCCCCTTTCCATTGGCATCTCTATGCCCATTGTTACCATTATCTACATCTTGACCAACGTGGCCTATTACGCCGTGCTGGACATGAGGGACATCTTGGCCAGTGATGCTGTTGCTGTGGTAAAAGATTTTTACTAGTAGGCTTAGGGTGTATTGTGGACATGTGGGTATATCCCAGCTCTTAAAAGTCTTGGAAAGGGGGTAGACACACTTGAAAGCTATAGCTAGGATACTGGGTTTGCAAGAAGGTCCTGTTACCCCACTGTGGAAGAAAAGTTGGATTCATAGTTAAGAGGAATCTGGGGCATGCCTGTCCATGCCTTTCTTCTGTTTTAGGTCCTGCTAGTTATTCTTGTCCTTTCTTCTTCCTTAGACTTTTGCAGACCAGACTTTTGGAATATTCAACTGGATAATTCCAGTGGCAGTTGCATTATCTTGCTTTGGTGGACTCAATGCCTCTATTGTGGCTGCTTCTAGGTAAGAGTGGTGTCTTTTGCAGGGAGGGGCCATTGTGAAAAGCAATGGCACAGGATGGTAGAACTTAACAGAACCTGGACTTTAATCACCCATGTTTCCCAAATGATGCCACAGCTTCTTTCTTCTTGTTCCCGTTAGCAGCCTCAGGCTCTTACTAATGTCAATACTGAACTCCATTCCATATTATTCACTCTTATAAGGGATGGCAGATGAGGGCTGTGGCAGGTGAGTCAGGGTGTACCTGTGACCCATGATGTTCTCAGCCTTTTCTATCTTATCTGAAACAGGCTTTTCTTTGTGGGCTCAAGAGAAGGCCATCTCCCTGATGCCATCTGCATGATTCATGTTGAGAGGTTCACACCAGTGCCTGCTCTGCTTTTCAATGTAAGTGATCTCAAGAACGTGACTGAATACCTGACTGTGGGGAAAACTTTAGTAACAGAAGATGTGACAATTTTACTAGTGTCCTCAAACTTATAAAACAGATTATGAGATAAAAACTATTGATGGGTCCAGCAGGTGGCAATGGTGGCTGGAGACTCCCACATGGCTGATCATGGTTCAAGTCCCAGACCTAGTGGCTTGCTTTCTCATTTTCCTCTCTCTCTGGCCAAATTAAAAAAATAAATAAATGACTAAATGAAAAGTAAAAAAAACCCCCAAAACTAAAACTACTGATGAACAGCCACCATAGGCAAGGCACTGTGCTAACTGCTATAATGGTTCCTAAGACAGAGTCTAACTTCTCTAAGGAAATGTCAACCACCTATAGTCTAAGATAAGGCATAATTTTCACGGAATACATTAGAATGATTGACTACAATCACTTGACAGATAGCAGGTGATGTTTACTGCTCAAAAAAAGAAATGATCGGACCTGGTGGCTTAAAACTCATGCCAGGCGCATGTGCGTGCGTGCCCAAGATCCCAAGAGGAGAATGGAAAAGGGATTGCGGCGTGGCCATCCCCCCTGGGGGGGGGGGGTGATTTCTCATTTTCTGTCTCTGTCTGTCTGGCTAGCACACGTGCCCTGTAGCGAAAATCTCTCTCCCCCTCCCCACCCCCCCAAAAAAGAAAGGATCATTTCCATGGGGGAAGAGGGTAAATGAAGACTTCTTGGAGGAAGTCCATTTGAGGAGGATTTTGAAAGTTCAGGTCAGGATGTAAATGATGAGATGGCCTTTTGTTTTTAATTTGCCAGAGGGCATGTGTGCCCATCATAGACAGGGAGGGGGAACACCTTCTCCATTTATACCTCCTTTTGGGAGTCTGGGCATGCACACAGAGTGCACGTGCTCACTGGAGACAGAAAGTGAGAGGTCTATCCCCCAGGGGTAATGGCCATGCTGCAACTCCTCCATTTTCCTCTTGGGATTTTGGGCACAACACACATACACATTTGGTATGAGTTTCAAGCTGGTGGGCCATGTGGGAATCCAGTGCCTTAACCATTCATTATGTCACCTGCTGGCCTCCTATTTTTTCCAAGCCACTGGTTCTGGGATTTGAACCACGTGGTTAGCCATGTGGGACCCAGCTTCCTTAACCATTGGGTCAATGGGCTGATCCTGAAGGGTGTTTGATTAAAAAAATCCCAAAAAACCAAACAACAGCATTGGAAAGTCCTGTGGTAAAGCAGTATGTGGAAAGAGGCAAGAGCTGCAAGTGTAGGTTGGACTATTAAGGTCTTATGCAAAAAATGTTTGAAGGACTTTAGACTGTGCCCTCAGAGGGTTAAATTTGCCATAGGTTTGAAGAATGGGATGAAAACTATTGAGAGGTTTTTGACTTTACTAGAAAAGAACGAGGGTACTAATGAGGGTGGAAATAGGACAAGATGACTCTGAGGACTTGTGGTGGGGGTTAGAATGAAGGTGCCTTGTTTAACAAAGGCCTTTAGAGAAACTGACTTGAGCTTGTGCCTACAGGGTATCATGGCATTGATCTACTTGTGTGTGGAGGACATCTTCCAGCTCATTAACTACTACAGTTTCAGCTACTGGTTCTTTGTGGGGCTCTCTATTGTGGGTCAGCTCTATCTGCGCTGGAAGGAGCCTGATCGACCTCGTCCCCTTAAGGTAACTTATCTCCATATGGAACAGGGAGAGCTGCTGCTACAGGGGACTCTTACATATTGATACATGGTTTACTCAGAAGCTTTTGCCTAGGACTTGGTGGTGGGGGTGTGTTTAGATCAAAGGAATGGAGGGCTCAGCACTCTGATCTTGAGTGATGTTAAATTGGATGTCAAGAGTCTTGAGCTGTCTAACCTCCAGTTGTTTCCTTTGTGCCCTCAGCTCAGCCTCTTCTTCCCCATTGTCTTCTGCCTCTGCACCATTTTCCTCGTGGCTGTTCCACTTTACAGTGACACCATCAACTCCCTCATTGGTATTGCCATCGCCCTCTCAGGCTTGCCCTTTTACTTCCTCATCATTAGAGTACCAGAGCGCAAAAGACCTCTTTATCTCCGAAGGATTGTGGGTAAGCTTTGGCTCCTCAAGTAAGCTCAGATATTATACAGCCTGATCTTTGCCTTTTCTGCAAATCTAGGGTCCCAAATCACCTTTGCCAATGCCTGCCATTTTTCCTATGGCTTAACTGAGTCACTCCCCTCAGGCCCAGTCCCAGTCAATGTCACTTGAATTCAGCCCAGTTTGCCTCTTCCCAGTTTCAAGTCAAACTTCTCTTTGCAGCATCTACCACACGATACCTCCAAGTCCTATGCATGTCAGTTGCTGCAGAAATGGATTTGGAAGATGGAGGAGAGATGCCCAAGCAACGAGACCCCAAGTCTAACTAAATGCTATCAGCATCCTGAGATGTGGAAAGTGGGACCTCTTGTTTCCTACTGGCAGGAGCCAAGGACATTGAAAAGGAAAGCTTACTTCTTCAGAGGCACAAGTCCAGAAATCTGGTCTAGGCAGCTCCAACCTTTGAACTTGTTTTTTGACAGAGGAAAAGTAATTTATTTGTTTTGCTACATATTGTTTCCACCTTTCTAAAGGGATGATAAAACAGACTGTGGTGGGGAGCATGTCAGGTGTGGGCTCGGTAGTTCTAGTTACACCTCTGGGTGTGCCTACCCACTCCGGTTTTCCTTTAAAAGGGCCAACAATGCTCCAAATTTCCTGTCTCCTTTAGAGACATGAGACTGTCACTGGTGCTAGGCAACAATAAAAGGGTTATGTTCAAGTTTGAATGGCTCCATTTTAGTGTCTCTGGGACAGCTCCTGTTAATCTAAAACCAGAAAGACTGTTCTTTCTTATCAATTTAGCTACTGAAGGTTGATAAAACCAATCTCTACAAGGCAGAAAAGAGAACACCTTAACTAATGTGGTAAAATGTTAGGCTGACACATGAAAATGACAACTTTCATTCATCTTATCACCAAGAATTTGAGCGTATCTACTTACTGAAGTTTTAAAATTTGCTATAATGTGGGAACCAGCAGTTAGCATAATGGCTATGTTGCTGGACTCCCATGTAGTCGACCGCGGTTCACGTCCCGAACCTGGTGGCTTAAAACTCATGCTGGGTGCGTGTGCGTGCCCAAGATCCGGAGAGGAGAATGGAGAAGGGATTGTGGCGTGACCATCCCCCCTGGGGGGGTGATTTCTCACTTTCTGTCTCTCTCTGTCTGTCTGGCGAGCACACGTGCCCTATAGGGAAACCTCTCAAAAAAAAAATAAATTGCTATAATGTGTGTGTGCTGGCTAGAGAGAAACAGGGGCAGGGGTTGGGGGAGAGAAAGTGAGAAAGTACCCCCAGGGGAGATGACCACCCTGCAATCACTTCTACTCCATTCTTCTCTCGGGATTTTGGGCATCCATGCACACCCACCTGGCGTGTTTTTCAAGTTATTGGATCCAGCACTCGAACTGCAGTCAGCCAGATGGAATCCAACTGCCGTAACTACCATACCACCTGGCTGGCCCTGAAGGTAATCTTAGCATCAAAAAATGAGGTTATTAGGACCAGCCCCATAGTGCAGCAGTTAAGTGCTTTGCAGAGGAAGCCGGATCACACACACACCAGGGTTTGAGTCTTAGTCCTGGTGGCTTGAGAAATAGGCTGGGATGAGTATGTCCAGGATCCTAACAAGATGGAGGACTGGAGGAAAAAAACTGTAGTGTGACCATGTAATGTGACTACTGGGAGCTGCTTTATCCCCTCCTACTTACTGTGTGCCCATTACATCCTCTGGCATTAAAAAAAAAATAAAAATGCAGTTATTATATTTAGACACAATCTCGGCTTATCAGTCATACCTATGACTGCGATACAAAAGTGGAGGAACAACACAGACATTGGTTCGAGGTTTAAGTACTTAACGCCAAGTTATAACATTAAGACACTCATAAAGAACATGGGCCAAGGGCAATCATGAACCAACCTACTCCTTATCTTTGAAGCATGGTACCCTCTATTAAGTATCAGAAAGTAGCAGGTAGTATAGAGGTTTACCAACTGTGGATGGGAAGATCACTTGGTTCCCTAGTGTTCTCTTTCACACAGGTGTAAATCTGTAGTGGAGTCTATTAAAAATAAACATTTCCATGTCCTCCAGTTCTTAGGTCTGGCACAAGGACACATCATCTTTGTCCTGTTAGAGGACAAAAGCAGAACATGTCTTGCTTCGAGGATGAGTCTTTGAAGAGACAGAGTTCCTGCCTGAATGAGCAGGGAACACAAGTCAGCCAAGCGTGTCACGCCAGGGATGCTTTGACTTTGGTTTCTTGCTGCTAGTGTTGCTGCTGTCAGGAGTGCTGGGAGGGTGATTCTTCCCATGTTGTAGCAGAGGGTTGTGGGCAAAGGTCTGTCGTAAGGGACCTGGGGGAAAAGGAGCAAACAAATCTCAGTGAACAAAGAAAAGAAGAAATAGAAGACAGGATTTAGTGTGAAAGGATTACTTACCCCTGGCTGCCAGCTCCAAGTGATTTTGCATGCGCTGTTCACGCTCTCGTAGCTGATGTGCCATTTCCGCATTCTTCCAGCCTGTGTACCGAGCAGTACGACAGTTCAGTCTCCATTTTTAGACCGCTTTGTCCTGGTTCTGTTTCACGGAGGATGAACCCTTACCTTTTTTGAAGCTCTTTATGAAGTTTTCCCGTGGAAGTAATTTGTCAGGATCATGCACAACACGCTGGGGGATTTTAAGTGCAGTGCGTACAGCTGGAATCCGAAGGCAGGAGACTTGTATCAGGGAAAACACATTGGAGGAAAGCCAGTACATGAACACCGCCTGGGTGAGGATACAGAGAAGGTACTCAGAAACTGCACTGCTGACCAGCCTGCTAGGATGTAGCTAGGCTAGGTCAAAGGAGTCAGTGCCTAAGTGATTACCTACCGTAGGGAAATGGATGGTAATGGGCAAGACTGCCAGGGGCATCACTCTGAGGACATTTCTCATCCACTGAAGGTCAGAACTTTGGACACCTGTCTCAGCACCTAGCTGCCAAAACCAAAGAGGTGGTGGAGACGAAAAGAGTAGTGAATGCGTATGTGTTTTAGTGAATCTGGTGCAAATCTCTCACCTATCAACCCTCTTTCTCCAGGAGTGCAGGGTGACCATTCTACACTATTTTATACCCCACTCCAAGCTCACCTTTGCAGGCCTGGCTCTGGGCGAACCTAGACTTACCTCAAGGACACCCCACATTGTAGCAGTGACTACGAGTGGTAATATATAGATGGGATCAGATACTGTAAGGTCCTGGAACCACCAGAGGCCACCTGTCTGCAGGCTGGGCACGGGAAGGTTGGCCATCTCTCTCAAGGCAATGAAGAAGGAGATGAAGATCGGGGCCTATTACACAGGATAAACAGCATAGACACATTTTAGCAGAGGAAGCATTGTCATGACCCGTTATTGAAAGCCATTTATAACCTCACCACAACCTGCTTTTATTTTTTTTTTTTTTTGGGTGGGGGGCAGGGGGAGGTCTGAGGCATAGGAGACACAGAGGAGGCAAACTGATTGGTTCAGGATGAACTAAGAAGGGAAATGTTTTTGCTCACCTGAGTCAGAGGTAAAATGAGTGGTTTAAAGAGTTTAACGTCATGCTTTTTCTGGTAAAGTGTCATCTCCGTGGAGGCCCTGTAAACTGAGGTGAAGAGAAATGAACGAATGGTCTAATAGTTTTGTCGGTGGAAGTGAACACCCTCATCACCAGGCCCATGAAACTTCTGACTGACTGGCCAACCCCAAAGCCCAAGGAGATGAATCTTTAGAACAGGCCCAACTGTAGCAACTCCTGATTCAGGTCGTTCCTTTCCTCCAGGGGAATATCAGGTAAAGCAAACGTGACCAGCTCCCACACTCATCTGTAATCAACTCACACTCAGCATGGTCTCCTGCCAACTTGGCCTCTCTGATTCGAGTGGAGAACTTCTGGATCTCTGGCAAGTGGTTGTGGATCTTGGCTGCCTCCCGTTGGCCCTTCACAATGAGAGGAAAAACCAGGCAGCGGGCAAGAACTGTACCTGGAGAATACAGAGGAGGACTGGAGTGAAACTAAAGCAGTTCTGCAGCTAGGTTTTCGGTCCTCACTGAAAGGGTTTCTCTGTTTCAGCCTCTTCTACACTGTGATCATGCCCAAGGGCCTGTATGGGGCAGGAGTATGACTTAGCTCCTTCAAAGCTCAGTTTTCCCCTTTGGCATCACAAAAGTCTCACATTAACTTCTCTAAGCAGATGACCAGGAATCCTGTTTTTTTTCCTTCAACAAAAAAGTGATAGAAGCTACTTTTCTAGATCAACAGCTTTTAAACTTTTATTTTTATGAAAAAGAATTTACTTATTTGGGGCCAGCAGGTGGTGTGGTGTTTGGGGAATGCTGGACTCCCACATGGCTGACTGCGGTTTGAGTCCCAGATCTGGTGGCTTGCTTTCTCACTTTCCTTCTCTCTGTCTGTCTCTGATCAAATTGGAAAAATAAAGAAAGTTTGATTTATTTATTTAATTCCATTTGTTAGTATTTTTTAATTTGACCAGACAAAGGCAGAGAAAGAGAGAAAAAAAGCGAGAAAGCAAGGTGTCAGGTCTGGAAATTGAATCACGGTCAGCCGTGTGGGAATCCAGCGTCTTTAATCACCATGCTACCTAGTGGCCCCTAAACCTTTCTGTTATTAATGGAACCTTTTTTCTTTTTTCCCAACTGTACATGTGTAGTTCTGATAAAACAAAACAAGGAGACCAAGCTGCCCTGGGTGAAGGTGAAGACTGACTATAGTGTTCACATTCTGGCCTTCGCCTTGTTCAGAGGCACCATTATAGAACTCTGGGACGTCCAGGAATGAAGTCTGAAAGCCACTGTTCTAAAAATCCCTGGAGTAGGAAGTAATCCGATGGTTTACTGCTTTAGCTCCTTCCTATTTCTTTCTTTTTTTTTTTTTGGGGGGGGGAGTTACTTATTCCTTTCATGAGTGATAAAGACAGACACATCACTCCTAACAGGCTCTTAATGCTGTGATCCAACCCCAGGCAGACACTACTGGGGAGGTCTCTGGACATGAACTTGGAATCTTTCCATGTGAGTCAGCCTTGCAAAGCATTGGCTTTACTGTGTGCCACTGTTCAGCCCTCTATTTTCTTATGCTTCATATTTCCTGATCATTCCAACAACTATTTAGAGAGAGCTAAGGATGGAACCCAGAATACCAGCACTGAAGGTGTAGGCAGAGTACTGGATAATGTAAATGGGGCTAGGTGTGGTAAGAGAGGATTAAATCAGAAAAGACTGTCACAAAAGCCAACAATAAATTCTAAGGTCTAAGGTGCCTAAAGCAAAAAGGTTAAGTATAAGTGGATTTGACAATGATGCTACTAGCATTTAAAATAAGGTGATTCTGCTAAAAGCCAGATTAGTGAGGGTTAGAAAGTGGGCCTACTGGATGCAGAATACTTTTTAAAACAGCTTTGAAAGTGAAGAGACACATAAGGAAGTAGTTAAAAGGGAATTAAGGGGCCAGCAGGTGGCAGGGTGGTTCAGGGCCCTGGACTCCCACATGACCGAGTCCTGGACCTGGTAGATCGCTTTCTTACTTCCCCCATCCCCCTCATGCTCTGTCCTTCTCTGCTCAAATTAAAATAAGTAAATAAATAAAAAAAAGTTAAATAAAATAATTATTTTAAAAAAAAATTTAAAAAGGGAATTAAGGATGGAGTTAAATTTTTCCTAAGTGACACATGGGTATGCCTGAGCATGTTTATACTGGGTTGCTGGAAGTCGAGACACATTTTTGCACAGAAAAACACATCATGACATTTCTGATGATGCAGTAGGATAAAGGTAGGGAAGTAAAAAGGGGATGTTGAAGACACGAGGAGAGAAGAGATGACTGATAGAGAAAGGTATAGGAAGACACAGAATTAGTCTTTACAAGAGGAATGTGAGTGGCTTCCCAGTTTGGGGATTTAAGCACCTGATGTGACCATCTACTTTCCTAAATCAGGGTACCTTTAACACTGTTACAAGGTCCCCTTACTTCAATGCCATGCTCACATTCAAACGTCTATGCTTCTTGAATCCCAGATGATACAATGGTATTATACTGTTCTTTAGGAAATAGTACGATTAGGTATCACAAGCCTCTATCCCTCATTTAAATCACCTGCGTTTCTATCCCTAAACTTCTGTAACTATTTCCTGGATCCACTCACAGAACTGCCATATTTAAGGTTCTAAACTTAAGTTCCCATTTTCTGTACCCTTGACCAGCATATATTCCCCTTACATGCAGCAATGGCCCCCCACCAAGGAAGGCCCAGGTTAACATGCATAAATTCCAGTAAGTTCTGGACCAATCCCACTGGGGTATATGATCCCAGCCCCAGTTCAGTGAAGCTCTGTTCTACAGCAGCTTGGATCACGTCAGCGGTCTGTCCAGAAGCCACCTCAGGTACTTGTGTGGGTGATGGAGCTGCAGGAATGACAGGAGGGGCCTGAACCTGTGTGAAAGGAAGTCATGTGTGATATTCAGTAGGGCTGACATACACAAAGTAAGGCCTTCTTATGATAATCAGCATTGGGTTCTGTTCTCTTCACTCTATTTCCTGTTTCCCAGGTTAGCCTCAGCCTCACAGAATTCAAGCTTAAAAAGGACACCCTGTTTTTGCCACTAGGTAGAAAGAAAAAGTTACTTAAAAGAGTAACATTTCAATGACTTCCCTTCATTCTGGGAAGTCACTTCTCATACCACTGTTTCCCAAACTAAAGCTATCTGAATATCACTATCACGATTTCTGTCAAATATTGAAACTATTACATATACAATCTTTCTTTAAAACAATTCAGTCTTTAAGATAAAAAACTTAAAATTGTGCATCTTATATGCAAATTATACTTTTTCCAATACTCACAAACCTTTAATCACATCTCAATTACCATGAGTAGCTTGCCACCACTCTGGCAAACCATGCCTAGACTATAACGTAACTCTCCCCTGTTGTACCTTCCAGCGTTTCTCCACTGAGTTAGAAATCTATTTCCCCAAGCACAGACGCCAACACTTTGGGGGACCACGTGGAATATGGCCAAGAATCCTGGCATAGTCCCCTCTCTCTTCGGACAAAACAGGAAGAAACCAAGGAGCACCACTTTCAGCTTTGGAGGAAAGAAAGGCCTCTCACCTGGGCTTCTGCAAACAAGACAGCAGAAGCACTGAGGCAGCGCGGGCCGGGGACTCCGAGGACGACATAGCGCGGGCGTCCACTGGAGGGGCGGGCTGGCAACAGGAGCTCGGCGGTCAGAGGTTTCCCAGGCCACTGCGAGGGCCCCGCTACGCTGTGGAACTGACGGGTAAAAGGATGATGAAGCCCCTCTACCGAGAGCAGAAGTCCCGTTGTGAGTACATAAGGCGTTCACGTTTTTTTGGGCGTTCACGCCGCTCACGCCCCAAGAGGCTGGAAGCCCGGCGATCGCAAGTGAGCACCCTGCTGCTCTCTGGGCGCAGACCGCTAGCCAGAAGGCACGCAAAGATGCATGCAAAGCCGAGCTCCAGCCAGGGTTTCCTGTATCCGTTACGGCAGACTCTCTCCCGGGCCCAGAATAAGAGGCTCGGGTGTCCTTGGCAGGGCAAAGCCAGAGCCGCGAAATGACAACCGAACTGGGCCGCGGAGGCCGCAGAGCTGGGGACGTAACCCTCCCGTGTCCTCACGCGACCGAGGTCATGACACAGGTCCTGGTGAGCAGGTCGGCGTCTGCTCATGCTCCCAGCACATCTGTCCCTGGACCCAGGTCACAGGGAAAGGGCAAGATCGCAGTGTTCAGTCCTGAAGTCACCTTACCTGACGCTGGGGTCGCAGCAGGCGCAGAAGCTCCCGGCGGCCGCACATCAGCCCCATCGCCATGTTGCCCGGAAGAGGATGTGCCTTAGCGCGTGCGTGCTCTGAACCGGAACCCCGTGGGAGGCGGCCTTTTTGGAAAAGGGCGTGAAGCCAGAACTGTCGCTTGGCGGCCATATTTGAAGTGGTTAACAAGCAGTAAAGGGCCTTATTAACAAGATGTTGAAGAGTGCTTTCTAATGGCTACCTGGCTGGACGCGGGATAGAGGCGTGGCCATGGAGGGGGGCGTGATTTTTCGCTTTTTGTCCCTCTTCTGGCCTGCGCAGGTGCGATTTCTCGCTTTCTGTTTCTCTTTCTGGCAAGTGCACGTTCCCTATAGCAAAAACCTCTCCAAAAAAATTAGCCTCCAGACAGTCTTGGTTGTGATTGGCTTGGTGTCTGTCCGGGCCACCCCTCCCGGCAGATGTTTGATCTACTGGCAAACTACTAAGTCAGATGAAGTCTATTTCCTGTCAGTGATACAAGAGGCAAGAGCCGAAGAATGGTGTTTCTTTTTTTCTTTATTCTTTTTTTTAAATAATTAAATTATTTAACTTTATTTTTTTTTAAATTTCATCAGAGAAGAAAAGTCAGAAAGCAAGCGGCCAGGTCCAGGACTTGCACCAAGGTTGACATGTGGAGTCCAGGGCCCTTAACCACCATGCCACCTGCTGGCCCCAGTTTCTCAAACCAGGTTACAAACAGTCAGTAAGCACCACCTACCTGTCTCCAGAAAGCTCAACTTCAGTATTTATAGCTACAAGCACAAACATGTGCTTGGGTGGGTGAGGTTTCACTCTGATATGATGAGTCCATGACTTGATTCCCCACTGTCAGTTATACCCTGGACTTTTTTTTTTTTTTTGGTAGAGAGTTCTTATTATAGGGTGTTTACACTCGGTGGAGAGATAGAAAGAGACAGAGAGACATAAAGCAAGAAATAACCCCCAAGAGGGGATGGCCACGCCACAACCCCTTCTCCATTGTCTCAGGATTTTGGGCTCACATCAACATATGCCTGGCATGAGTTTTAAGCTGCAGGTTGGGAACTTGAACTGCGGTCGACTACGTGGGAGTCCAACAACATAACCATTATGCCATCTGCTGATCCCCCTGGTGTGGGAGGCTACGCACCTGTGAGTCTGCTGAGGTACCTCAGAGAACAAACAATTACCATGATTGGTTCCCTTCCAAAAACCTGACCTTTAAAACCTTGCTCTGATTGGCCACTAGAATCCCTCAAATTTGCATATCCAGCACCTCACGATTGGTCCAAAAGCAACCAATCACAGCCCACTGCTTACAACCAAGCACAGCCCACCGTTTACAACCAATCACGGCCCACCGTTTACAACCAATCACGGCCCCCCGTTTACAACCCACCAGAGTGTATATAACCACGATGCCTGGTCCACAGTAGCCAGACGATGACCAGGAAGACGACGACTGAAGAGCCTGAAGAGCTGAAACACCACGCAGTCTCCAGAGGATCCTGAAGAGCTGACACTGCATCATCTCCAGACAACCTGGGAGACCCCGAAGAGCTGTAACACTACATCATCTCCAGATGACCCTGAAGAGCTATGACACCGTGTCATCTCCGTGTGCTGCTCACAGTAGACGACGTGACCCTTAAGAGCTGTGACACTGCGTCGTCTCTGTGCTGTACCGTGCTGCCCACAATAAATGGACGACACTGTCGTCTCCGTGCTGTAACACTACGCCGCTTGTCCCGGCTCTCACTCCTTCACTCAGGAAACCTATTCTGCTGTCCCCCCAGGTCGGGACACCCTGGACTTCTTAATATTCAGCAAGTTTCAGGGAAGTATGGCAAAGACTGCATCAGAGTGCAGGTCATATGAGCATAATATTTAAACATGCTTACCAAAGTTTTTCATGGGCAGAGTTCTCTAAATAATAGTTCATGTTATCAGGGATACTAGCATGAAAAAACACCTCTTCCAGGACCTTCCCAGCTTAGTTTAGTCAGGGTTTACACAAATGAATCTATTTTGATTCTGAAAACTTTCACATTTCCCCTCTTTTAAAAAGAAACATAAATTTTATTAAGTATTGTCAATTGTTTTTAATTTGCTAAAGGGCTCACACACTCACCAGAGAGAGGCAGAGAGAAAGTGAGAGAGAGAAAGTCTCCCCTTTGCTGGGGATGGGGGGGGGTAGCCATGTCATAATCCCTTCTTCATTTCTCTTTTCAGGATTTGGGGCACACAGGAACATACAGTGTTTTGTGTGTGTGTGTGTGTGTGTGTGTGTGTGTGTGTCCTTCAAGTCGCCAGGTCTGGGACCCGAACCATGCAGTTGGTCAAGATGGAGGCTCAGCCTCCTTAGCTACTATGCCACCTGCTGGCCTGAAAACTATAATCTTTTCTCTCTCATGAGCATATACACAAAAATCTTTTTTTTGGGGGGGAGAGATTTTTTTCTTTATGGTACATGAACTCACCAGAGACACAGAGAGAAAGTAAGCCATGCTCCAGTGGGGTGGGGAGGCGAAGGGGAAGGCTACACTGCAATACCTTCTCCATTCTCTTCTCAGGATTTTGGGTATACAGACACACATGTCCAGTGTGAGTTTCAAGCCACTGGGTCCAGGACTTGAACCATGGTTTACCATGTGGAAATCCAGAGTCTCAAAAATAGTACTACTTGCTGGCCCCAGACATGAAAATCTTTAACAAAGTATTGGGCTGGCCCCATTGCACAGTGGTTAATCCTTGTGCATAGGGAGCCGGGTCTTAAGTGACCTACTGCGGTTTGAATCTCAAATGCTGGTGGCTTGAAAAACATGCCAGGTACTGTGTGTGTATGTCTAAAATCCTGATGGGATGAAGAAATGGAGAAAAATGATTGCAGTGTGGCCATACTTTATAGGGGAGTGCCTTATCTTTCTCTCCCTCTCTCTCTCTCTCTCAAGAGTGCTCATGTCCTCTGACAATGAAAATATTAATAGCCTGAACACAGCAATACATAAAAATGATAATATATTGTAACCCTGGAATGCAAATTTGGTCTAACAATGTACATCAATCAACGTAATTCTCTTATTAATAGAATAAATTCAACATCTATTCATTTAATACAGTAGGTGCCAGGGCCTGCTCAGCAGAACGTTTTTCTGAGTGGGAGTGCTGTTGATTAGAAATATAAAAACAAATGCACAAAAACATTCAAATATAAAAAAGTGAGGATTGGGTGGGCCCGACGACTTCTCTCATGGATAAAGTCATGACCCTGAACCAGCCTTGGGTTTATTCTTTAAAAGGGTAGAAAATGGGAGAAGAAGAAATGGAAAGCAAAGCCAATTGTTTTGGGGTGTTAATTGTCTGAAGATGCAAAAGCAACTGGCACCATGTAGTTTCTTTGATCTTTTGGGGCAAAATCTGAGAAACACATGTGACTTCCTATAGCACAATGCTGCTCTGCAGTTTGGACAGCAGGTAGCTAGTGTATTTGCATGCAAATTATTTTCATTGCTATGCAAACAAAGCTCACAGACCTGTTTCTGCATGTGCCTAAAGGTGATGTTTGCTCAGAGTGGCTGCTCTCCATAACTAGGAATAGAGGAAACTTTTTATCCTGAAATGGAGTGTCTGCAAAAAGCCTACAGTGAGCATCATAGTTAATTATGAAAAACTGAACTCTACTTCTCAAACTAGTAACAAGGGAAGGAACAGGAACAGTCCTCCCACTTCTTATTCTTTTTTTCCCCATAGGATGTGTGCACTCTTTGGAGAGAGACAGATAGACACAGAGAGGGAAAGTGAAAAATCACCACCCAGGGAAGATGGCCACACTGCAATCTCTTTCTGGATTTTGGGTACACATGCACATGTGCCTGGTGTGAGTTTCAAGCCATTGGGTCTGGGAGTTGAGCTGTGGTCAACTACGTGTGAGTCCAGTGCCTTAACGACCACACCACGTGCTGTCCCAGTCCTCCCACTTTATTCCAAAAATTTCTAGGGGTCTGAGCCCTTGGAATAAGACAAAAAAGAAATAGATTGCTGTAGGGCACTGCATACATAAGACATCTTGAGCTATCCGCCATCTTGAGCTATCCACCATCTTGGAAACCATTAGGTTTCACTTCCTCATTGAGCAAACTGTTTCTCAGAAATTTTGTGACCAACTGTTCTCCCCATGGGGCGGATGAGTTTCTAGGCAATGGGAAAGATCCACACACACCAATGATTGGTTCATGGTGTTCTATCTCATTTGCATTTCGGGCAACCAATCAATGCCCACCAGCCAGTATATAACTCAACATTCTTTCTCAATAAAGAAGACTTGAAGACTTGATCAGCAAGCACCTTGTTTCGTCTCCACTCTATGCGTCTGTGTGTTTGTCCCATCTCTCACTCCTTCCCCCAGGAAACCTGTTCAAATGTCCCCCGGGTCAGGACAGATTGCATACATTTTTTTCCCCCAGGTTCATAATTTATTGTACACACTGAATATCACATTATGAGCTGACATTAACTTCTTCGGGCATGGGAACTTAGATGAGGTATGGACGTTTGACTCCGTTTGTATTGCTTTCATAGCTGGAGTTTCCTTAGATCTTTTTTTTTCTTTTTTGGAGAGGTTTTTGCTAGAGGTTTTCGTGTGCTAGCTAGAAAGACAGTTCTCCCACAGGAGATGGTCTTGCCACAATCCCTTCTCCTCCATTCTCCTCTCAGGATCTTGGGCACGCATGCACACGTGCCCGGTGTGAGTTTAATGCACTGGGTCTGGGACTTGAATCACAGATGACTACATGGGAGTCCAGCGACATAGCCCTTATGCCAACTGCTGGTCCCTCCTAAGATCTTAACTTGAAAAATAAGATTGTCAAAACAGTGCCTTTACATGTGGCCAGTACACAATTCATTCTTCTACCTGTGAGTATAAGAGTCAAAGTACTTTTTAATACCAGTGAACTGGAACTGGGCATCAACTTCTGGACCTGCCATGATTTCAATTTTCTTGCAAAGCCACCAAATCCACAGATGGTATCCTTCAATGTATGCAGCCACCCCTCAGCCCTGGCACACAAAATTTAAA